GAATCCTCTATCTGGAAATCTCTTGAAACAGGCAACTTGGACAGAAGGCACTAAAGGTAAGAACACATTGGTTACTGCCTCTTGTCACGATGTGCATGGCCAGCCTGTTGATTTGCCTTGTGTTGCACACAGACCCTAGCATGTGACTGGGAAGTCTGCTTGCAAGACCATGAACTTACTGGTATTTAAGAGATTTAGATATTTAACAATTCCCATTTTTATTCCAATATGTTTTCTGTGGAGCTTCCTATAGGGCCAACCACAAAGGCTTAGGGGTAGGCACATTCTACTTATACCTGCTATTTAGAGCTGGACTAATCCCTGCCTCCCACACAGTAGTTCTTTTTTTCTTTTTTTTTTTAAACAATAGCTTTAGTGAGGAATAACTGACATTCAGTAAACTGCAGATATTTAATTTGGTGAGTTTTGACATATGTAAACACTGGCAAAACCTTCACCACAATTAAGATAATGAACAAAAGTTCCCTCCTACTCCTTGGTAATTATTCCTTCTTTCCGTTTCTCACTGTAGACTATTTGCATTTTTCTGGTGTTTTATATAAATGAAATTATGCAGTATATGTCAGTCGTTCACTCATTTCTCCAGTGACCGATGATGTTGAGCATCTTTTCATGTGTTATTTGTCATTTGTATGTCATCTTTGGTGAAATGTCTCTTGATGAATTGACTCCTTTGTCATTATGAAATGACCCAAAGAATATTATTCTTTGTTCTAAAATCTACTTTCTCTGAAATTAATATAGCTACTCCAGCTTTCATTTGATTAGTGTTAGCGTAGTTTATAATTTTCCGTATTTTTACTTTTAACCCACTTGTGTCTATATTTAAAGTTGTTTTCGTATAGACAGTGTATAGTGAGGTCTTATTTATTTATTGCATCTGACAGTCTGTGACTTTTAATTGAGGTGTTTAGGCCATTTACATATAATGTAATTATTGATGTGGTTGTGTTTAAATCTACCATCTTACAATTTTTCTATTTGTTTCATCTGTTCTATGGACTCCCTTTTTCTGTCTTCTTTTGGATGAACTGAGCATTTGTGATTTCATTCTCTCCACCACTTGCTCATTAACTGTAACTCATACGTTCTTTTAGGTGTAGCTTTAGACTTTACAGTATACATTTTTAACCTACTTTCTACTTTCAAGTGATATTATACCATTTCATGGATAAGGATCTTACAGTAGTATATCTATTTCTCATCTCACAGGCTTTGTGCATCTATGCTCATACATTTTACTTAAATATGTTATAAACTCCACAATAAATTACTTTTGCTTTAGATAGTCAATTATCTTTCAGAGATATTTAAATAATAATAATTTTTAAAAACATCTTTTATATTTATGCACATAGTTACTACTTCCAGTGCTTTTCATTTCTTTGTGTGGATTTATCTCGTTTTGTTATCCTTTCTGAAGGACTTTTTTTCAACATCTGTAGGGAAGGTCTGCTGGTGATGCATTCTTTAAGCTTTTGTGTGTCTTTATTTTTACTCATTTTTGAAAGATATTTTCCCTAGGTATAAAATTTAGGTAGTTTTTTCTTTCAGTACATTAAAGATGTTGCTCTACTGTCTTCTGACTTGCACTGTTTCAAACAAAATCTGCCACCATCGCACCTTTGTTTCTCTCTGTAATGTGCCCTCCCCTCCCAGCTCCTCCCATCCGCTGACCAGGCTGCTTTAAAAAATAGTTTAATTTGTTACTGGTTTTAAGCAATTTAAGATATGATTTGGTATAATTTTCTTCATGTTTCTTGTACTTGAGTTAATTGAATTTTCATTACATCTGAGGAAAAATTCAGTCTTTATTTCTTCAAATATATTTTTCTACGTTCTCCTTCTCTCTGTTAGAGTAATCCAATAACACATACATTAAGCTGCTTGAAGTTGTTCCATAATTCTCTGATGTTATTGTTTTTGTTTCCCTTTGTTTCATTTTAGATAGTTTCTATTGCTGTGTTTTCACATTTACTAATCTTTTTTTCCTGCTGTGAGTCATATCCGGTTTGTTTGTTTATATATTTTTTTTTTATAAAAGCAAAGGAGTCTTATATGACAGGAAGAAATTCTTCTCCTAAGAGAAGAAGTTGTCTTCTAAGAAAAGAAGAAAGACAATTTCAGGTAGCACATGCATGAATGTATATGCACATTGATGAATTGATGATAAACATTTACTTGTGTTTGTTTATTAATCAGGGTTCTACCTTGCAAGTGACAGAAACTCAACTTGAACTACCTTAAGAAAAGGAGAGAAATGTAGTGAGTCATGAAATAAAAGGAGAGGTTGAATAAATAAACCACAGAATGTCAGAGATGCAGCTGGTTTCAGGAGCAACTTAAGTTAGGTATTAAACACTGCTGTGACTGTGTTGTCTTGTCTTTGGTACCTCTCTTCGTGTTGGCTGTATTGTATCTCATTGCACTGGCTTCTTCCATGAAAACATCACCCCTCATTGCTGCTGAATTACACAGTCTTCAGCTTCTAGAGGGGGACTGATTGTTTTAAACATTGTTTGAAAAATTCCAAGAAAAGACTGATGACCTGTCCTGGGTCAGGTACCCATCCCTGAATGCATCTATTAATGCTGGCAGGGCAGGGCAAGTCCAAGTACCAAGATGGTAGCTCCCATGAGAATTCAGGGTCCAGTTCATCTTCTCTCTCAGGCTTTTTAGTTTTGATCTCTAGAATTTGAGTCTTTTTTATATCTCCACTTACCATTCTTAATCTTTCCTGTAGTTTCTTAAATGTATGGAAAATAGTTACAATAATTGCTTTAATGTTCTTATCTACTAATTCTATCATTTGTGTTATTTCTGAGTCAGTTTCTACTGATTGATTTTTCTCCCTCCTTATTATGGGTTGTATTTTCTTCTTTAAATATCTGGTAATTTTTGAGAGGATTCCAGACATTGTAAATTTCACCTTGTTGGGGCTGGATGTATTTATATTCCTATAAATCTTCAGCTTTGTTCTGGGATATAGTTAAGTTACTTGGTGATGGTTTAATCCCTTCAGGTCTTGCTTTAAGCTTTGAGCTTTGTTAGACAGGACCAGAGCAGTATTTAGTACAGGGCTTGGTCCCACTACCAAGGCAAAACTCTCTAAATATTCTATAATGTTCCACAAATTCTGAGGTCTTTGATGCTGGCAATGGGAACAGGAATTATTCTAAACCCTGTATGAGCTTGAGGCATTGTTCCTTTTAATTCTCTTGGATGATTTCTTTCTTGGCCTTGAGTAGTTTCCTCACCTATGTGCACTGATCACTACTCAACTGATGACTTGGGGGACACTCTGTAGCTCTCCTGAGTTCTCTATTTGTGCAGCTTATTCCTCTCTGGTTCTCTCCCCTGTGAACTCTTGCTACTCGATTTCCCTGGACTCCAGTGCCTTTCCCCAAGTCAGGGAGACCACTGATGCTTTGCCTCGGTTTCCCTTTCCTGAGCACATTCCAGAAACTTTTTCAAGGAAGAAGCTGGGGGCTCCTCCAATTTTTCCATTTCTAAGGATCACCGTCTTTCACTTCCTGATGCCCCATGTCTTGAAACACTCTTGTTTCATATATTTGTCCAGTTTTTTTGTCATTTCAGATGGGTAAATATGGTTCCTGTTCTGACTCTCCTTGTCCTTTGAACAGAGTTGAATGCTGGTACTTCCCACCATATCAGAGATGGGGAGAAAGTACGCTTCCTCCCAAATGACATCCTGCCCTTCTTCATCCCCCTTCATCCCACCTTGCTCAGGGTGACAAGGGGCCACCACAGCGCGGACAGTACTGTAAGGCAGGGGAGACCATGCCTTTTCCACCCTGCTCTCTTCCTTTCTTCTTGGGCACTATTTGGCCAGTGCACCAGGGGCAGGGCAAAGCAGTCCTTGGACTGCTGAGTCCCCTTTGTGCCAGAATCTGCAGATCAGTCATGCCTTCCTGAGACAGCAAGCCAGCTCTCCAACTTATAGAATCCATGATGTAGTTGAAATGCTAAGGATAAAGAATGAAGAAAAGGAGGAGAATAGTAGACAAGAGAAGACCTCAGAAACTCTGTGGAAGGTGACTGATTGCCCTGATAGAACTCTCGGGGTGGCATGGCCATGGTAAGGGGCCGATCTTTGTAGATCGAGAAACCTTTTTTATCTTCGCCCCAAAAAGCCACTGTGTCAGGGGATACATTCCAGCGAAATAAACCCACAAGAGCATCATGTGTAAAGCAGATGTCAATTTGTTCCTACAGAGAAACACGGTGGCCTCCAGGGATGGCCTCCAGATCTGTTTCTGATGCGTGGGTCAGAAGAGTGCTTGCAGGGCATGTGGTCTTGGCGGGGTCACCACTTTTTTGTGGAAACACAGATGGTAACAGTTTCTGAAGCCCAAACTGGGGTTCTTGATTTGACTGAGTATGTTCTGATTTGTAATTCATCTGTCAAATCACATCTAGTTACATTTCTGATTACTCATTGTCCTTGAAACAGACGCAGAAATGTGCCTTCGGGATGGTCGCCCTCAATCTGGGGAATGTGATCGCTGCGCTTACATGCTGATCGCTGGTGGTTCTATTTTCAGTGGGAACTGGGGGCAGATTACTGTACAAATTAAGCTGATGAGAGATGAAACCATCGTTTGTTTCATTCACTCCTCTCTTTGTTCGTTGCACAAATATTTATTGAGCCGCTACGGTGCACCAGGTGCTGGAAAGCACAGAGAAACAGCAAACCTGTGCGCTTCTTTCCTAGCTGGAAGTGACAGAGCAATTTTTGATTTGACTTCTAAGGAAGGCTTCCCTTTCAGGTTTGAAACAACCAGGTTCGAAAGGAAACACAACCAGGATGCCACCTGGGGGTCACCGTGCCCGCATCGCTGGCTGTGTTGGGTCCCTCGTTTGCTGGGCGCAGGCCCTGCTCCTCCTCCCGGAGCACTCCGGGCGTCCTGGAGGTGGCCAGCAGCCCGGTCACGGCTCCGTGTCTCTGTTTGTTGCAGGTTCCCCCGCCTGCACAGTGCGGTGATCAGGACCTTTGTTCTCGTGCAGCACTACGCGGCCGCCATGATGGCTGTGAGCGGCCTCTCGCAGATGAAGGACTACACGTCGGTGGAGACGCTGGAGATCACCCAGAACCTCATCAACTCCCCCAAACAGTGCCCCTGCGGCCACGGGCTCATGGTCCTGCTGCGGGTGCCCTGCTCGCCGCTGGCGGCCGTGGCCTACGAGCGGCTAGCCCACGTGCGGGCTCGCCTGGCCCTGGAGGAGCACTTCGAGATCATCCTGGGCAACCCCAGCTCTGGTATCACTGTCGGCAAGCACTTCGTGAAGCAGCTCAAGGTGGGCGCTGGGGGCAGGGACAGGAGGGGTGGAAGGTGCCTGGGAGAGTAGGGGGGAGGGGTAATGGTGTGGTGATAAGCACCTTGGCCCCCTCCATGCTTGGCCAACCCTCTGGCCGCCTCTCTTGCCCTGTCCCTACCTGCAGTACTAAATTACTTATAAATGTTGCCCCCCGCCCCCAATGCATTGTCTTGCTCTTTTTTTTTTTAATGATTTTATTTATTTGAGAGAGAGAAAGAGCGAGCGAGCACGAGTAGGGGGAGGGGTGGAGGGAGAAGCAGGCTCCCCACTGAGCAGGGAGCCCGAAGCAGGGCTTGCTCCCAGGACCCTGAGACCATGACCCGAGCCGAAGGCAGACGCTTAACCGACTGAGCCACCCAGGCGCCCCTTGTCTTGCTCTTTTAAACTTCTGGGCTGCCGCGTGCCTTTCATTCTTCCTGGGAGTGCTTCTCCTCCTCCTTGGTTTAGCCAACGCTTATCGGCCTGGAGAACTCAGCTCCTGTCTTTTCCTCTTTCGGGAAGCCACCCCTCCCTGCCCCCGGGTTCTCCTCTGCAGTGGGGCTGGCGTGGTGCTCCCTGCCTGTCCTCTGGCTCTTTCTCCAGGCGTTGGAGGGCAGGGACCACCCCCATAGTCCTCAAGCCCCCCCCAGACTAGCACAGTGCCTGGCCCCCAGCTTCTCACTGAACCCACAGAGAGGTGAGGGAAAAAGCAGGAGGGTTACAAAGAATCCTGAGAGAAGAGGTGAGCAGGAACCGAGGGAGAGGCATGGCTGAGAAAGCACAGTAAAAAGGTTAGACCAATTGAGGATATGCACTTTTCTTCCCGAGGATCAGGCAGCACATATTCCGTGGGTCGCTAACACGTGCCAGGCAGTGTGGCTGGGAATGTAGCCGTGAAGCAGACGATGTGCTTATCTGTCCTTCTCACGAAACGCTTTCAGTCAGGAGGAGGACACCATAGATCTGTCAGAGCTGGGCTAGTCCGAAAGTAAGGAGTCTCCCCGCCTTATTGGTTTTTAATTATCCGCAGATGTGGCAGAAAATTGAGGACGCGGAGTGGAGGCCTCAGACCTACCTGGAGTTGGAGGGCCTGCCGTGTATCCTGATCTTCAGTGGGATGGACCCTCACGGGGAGTCCTTACCGAGGTCAGGGGAGGGAGCTGTGTGGCCCTGGGGGTCTTTGAAGAGCCAGCTGCCTGTACCCACAGCTCTGGGGGTGGTCGGGCCAGGCTTCCAGTGCCCAATGGCAGGTGGAGTCTTTACATTCAGAGTCATCATAGAGTTGTGCATTCATCATGACAGTTTCCCAGCCTGTGGCACTGAAATGGGTCTGAGGTCTGGGCAGCATTTCCTAATTCTCAGACAGGCACCATTTGGGCTCACGGGGGGTGGGATGGCTGTGGCTGGGCCTGGTGGGTGGAGGTCTTCCAGCTGGGGTTAGGGTTTGATGCCTCCCTCAGTTTCTCCCGTGAGGATCACCATGTGCATTGGGGATGACTGTTCTGTTTAGGAAAGTATCTGATCATCTTGGGGGTCAAGGCTCCACTTCTGGTATCTCGCTGCTGGGATAGCGGGGCCCTCCCGGTGTAGGAGGTGTTCTGGGAAGTGGGGAGGCAGCTGATGCCCCTTAGGAAGAGCTGGTTTCCACATACACAGCTGACTGTCTCAAAGGCTGTGTTCCTTTGGAGACCACGGCCACGGAGAAGTCAGCTGCAAGCCCCCTCAGTGTCTCCTGGGGTCTCTAGGCCGTCACACGGACAGGTAGACACTCAGGACAGAAGGTCACTGGGCCTCCAGTAAGGCAGTTCCTTGAATGGGTGGCAACAGGTTGGCTCCTGAAGATTTACTTAATACCATGGAGAAGAGCAGGTGGCCACGCACATCTTTCTGGGTATAACCAAAGAGTAAGAACTGACATTTATTGGGTTCCTGTCATGTGCTGGCACTGTACTGGATTCTTCTCATGTGCTGTATTTCATTTTACTCTCACTGCTATCACCCTGAGTGAAGGTAACATTTGAGCAGTGAAGAAATGGGACTTACAGAGATTAAGCCTGGTGGACCATGGACTCTCGGCTGCCCGACTCCAAAGCCGGGGATCCTTCCCCTGGGCCACCCCACACTTACATGAGGGCTACTGCACACGGTGTCCTCACAGGCTGGGTAAAGGTGACTTGATTGTCATCCTATCCCTAGCATCTAGCACAGTCCTGGCACATTTTAAGTGCTGATTGAATAATTAAATGTCCACTGACTGCATATAGTCTTCAAACAGTGCACTTAGATGGCTATTAATATTAATTCTCATCTTTCAGATGAAAATCTGAGCCTGCAAGAGGTTGCCCAGCTTGTGGAAGTTTCTGGCCCTAGAAGTAGCAGAGCTGGGGTTCAAGTCTGCTTTTCTTCTGGCCTGAAAATGCTCTCTCGATGACATGCAGGACAGGGCTGAATCCATAGCAGGTGCCCCAGGAGACTTACTGTTAAACTGACTTGGTTGCCAAGGGCTCACTGTACTGTGATCTGCTTTTCTGTTTGCACAAGTCCTAGGGCCCTAAAGAGGCGGCCGGGGGCTGGTCCCGATCCCCATTCCCCCCAGCGCTGGGAGTGGTGCCTCATTGTAGAAGACACTCAATAGATACCTTCTTGTTCCCTCCAGGTCTCTGAGGTACTGCGACCTGCGTCTGATAAACTCCTCCTGCTTGGTGAGAACAGCCCTGGAACAGGAGCTGGGCCTGGCTGCTTACTTCGTGAGCAATGAGGTTCCCTTGGAGAAGGGGGCCCGGCACGAGCCCTTAGAGAGCGACGCGGAAAAGCTGAGCAGCACAGACAACGAGGATGAGGAGCTGGTGACGGAAGGTGAGGGGTGGCAGGTCCACCTTGCCTGCTCATCTTGGGGGCAGCCTGCCCTTGTGTGGCCCTGGGGCCCGTCTCACGGTCAGCAGCTCCGATGAGCACTATCTGGATATGTCTTTGCAGGAGATGGCACATCCCTGATTGCATTCAGATTTTGCTCCCCCCCAACTTTTGGTGGTATGAGAAAATGGAAACCCCGATTGGTTCTTCCTAGCTCTAGAATTCTTAGAGAATAGGAAGGAAAATTGCAATTTCTCAGGACTCCGTTTCCTACTCGGTTTGACTAGTCAGTGACTTTACTGCCCCGTATAAGCTTTGCTCGTGTATTTCCTGTGTGAACCAACAGGTTGGGTTTATTATGAAGTTTGATGAGAAAAGGCCGGTTTCATTCCAAGACATGAAAATCCAACACTGTATTTTAATAGGACACGTAAATCAGAGCAATGCAAGGCATCTGACTTGTCAACAGTGCAGCAAGAAAAAAGACAAAGCTGTTTATAAAAGCATGGGATGCGTTTGTGGGGTGTGATGCAGAGTCAGAAGACCCGCTTTCTCTTCCCGCTGCATCTGCTGGCTGTGTGACTTGGGACATGTCATGCTTCCTTCACTGGCCTCAGATTGCTCACCTGTAAGACAGAGACTAAAAGGCCCCCGGGACAGACTCTGCTGGAGCTGTAGCAACCTTGCACAAACGTGATTGTGACCCTGACCTTAAGATGCCTCAATCTCCCCGTTGCCCGTGGGATGAATCCGCATTCTTGGCATTTTACAGCCTACCTCTCTAGTCTCACTGCTTCTCACACAGTACCCCATGCTGTTAGTCACACTCAGCTCATCAGGGTTCCCTGGCTGTGCTCTGCTCTTGTCACCTCTGGGCCACACAGAGGCTCTCCCATGGCTTCGAGCTCCCCCTCCTTTGTGCTTCACTTAGAAACCCCTGCTGGCCCTTCAGGGCTCAGGTCGGGTCACTCCTTCCAGAAAGTCACCTGCTCTTGCCTTTCTGTGCTCGGCGGGAGCCTGGCCTCCAGGCTCCCAGGTCTCTCTCTGCGCTCCTTACATCTGTAGCTGTGGCTCGTGAGAAGGGGCCTCCATGAGCCGTGAACGCCTGACTGGCCTGCATCGCCCCCCTTCTGTCTCCTCGGGGCTCTGTCAGAGGCGGGTGCCTGCAAGATGGTAGCTGGGTGGCTGGCTGGATGGATGTATGCATGGATGCATGGATGGATGGATGCATGGATGGATACATGGATGGGTGGGTGCATGGATGGATGGATGTATGCATGGATG